ACAGTGCAAACTCACTGTCTTCCAGCTGGCCTCACCTTCCACGATGGTTAAATGCCTTTTTTTAAATAGTAACTTATATTTATTGATAAATATATATTATATGATCTGGATAATCTCTTCTCAGCTGTATATCCAAATAGCTTGCCTTAAAATTTATCATGTTTCTTCTGTAAGGACTTTTTACACAACAGAGATCTCAACAGGTTAAATTCATCAGTCTTTCCTTTATGATACATATTTTGTTCTTTCAGATCATAGATAAGATAAGCTCCTATGTTTGTTCTCAAATATTTTATTGCTTTCACTCACATTCAAGTGTTTAATTCACCTCAAAATGACATGAATACACTATCATCATATATCAAACCAATTTTATTTTTCATTGCATATAATCAACTGTACAAAAGCTATGAATTATGCTGCTTGCTCCTCAGAGATCATAAAAACAAAAAAGCAGTTTGAAACAGGTGCTTGAACACTTCCAATGGATATCTCCACTGGTACAGAGCAGAATGAATAGACCATAATGTCCACCTCCAATTTCTCCCTGGAACATTTCAGACTACATACCTAACATTTTCACTTTGCCACCTACTGCTGAAGATCTGAGTTTTAATTAGCCTCCTTTTGGGTACAAATGAGACAAGCCAATCTGTAGACCTTTATGACCTTAAATGGGTACCTGAGTACTTAGAACTTAACCCTCTCCCCAATAACCTGCAGAAATTTGTGTCTATCACAGTTGAAGGGCTCTGTTATTCACTAAGCCCTGGAGATGACAAACAGCAAAGCAATAGATTCAAAGAGTGTGTAGTCTGACCAAGAGTGCAGGCATTTGCTACAGATTTTTTCCCAGTTTTATGCAGAGTTATTAGAAATGAACTCCAGCTGCAAGCATCTCCATAAGAAAAGAAAATGGACCACGCATTCAGAATTCCAACTTTTCAAGTTACTTCACAAGAAACTGACTTCTAGTTTGTATTTCAGGGTAGTGACAGTACTAACCTTGGGAGTAGGAGGTCTAAGAACCATCACAGTGGTTTAAAAAAATCAAAGGTTTAAGTCACATTCAGAATATCTGGCTGAAATAAGTAGTTCCTACATGGAGCTACTCTGACAAAACTAGAAGAGAAGCTATTTTCTGTAATGATCAGAAAAATTGGAAAACAAACCACAAAGAATCCAGAAAAATTAATATATAAGAATATATACTCTAAACAAAAAAATAAGACAGGAACTGACCCTAATAAATCAAAGACCAACAATTTAAGTGACAAATAACCCAAAATGACATTCATGAATATGCTTACCAAGGTCAGCAGGGAACCTGCATGAGCAAACTGATAATTTCCCTAATTGCCCTCATACCAAAAGATTTAACCCCATTCCTGGGCCCAAACCTCTAGAGCACCCCTTCATCAATGTTTGGCCAGTGCCGTCTCCTGCTCGCCTCCCAGAGTCAAAGTCAGCCGCAAGGTGGACCCCTAGGCCCAGGACTCTACTGCAGTGAGGAGGGGGTCTCAGAGCCTTACAACAGGCAGGATCTGTGAACACTTCAAACCTAGTTCTCCCTCAAGGATTAAGCCTGAATCTCAAGACTTAGATACTACCCCAGCTTCACCAGAACATGGTGCAGACACACAACTTCACAGTTGCAATGGGTTCCTGCACCCTGGAGCTCAGTACTGCTGCAGCTAGTTGTATATCATGTCAGACAGGACTCTAAGACGGATGCTTCAGACAAGTCTTCCCACTGTGGGGAAAATGAGAACAGGAGTCCCTAAAACCTCATACCACATTAGGTTCACAATATTCATGCTGTGACTGCTATTGTCACAAACTCTTGAAGCCCAGGCCCCTGAGATAACTACGGTAACTGACATTGATCACAACTTTTACCGCTTGTACCATATGTAGACACCAGAGGGCGCTCCAGCACCATGACTGTAAAGCACCAGAGAAGCCATGGAAAGAGAGGCTTAAACAGAAACCCCCAAACCTAGGAGATAAGAGGAATTTACTACTGGAATGCAAGGTTGTTAAACATATAAAGATTAATCACCATACCAACAAAATAAAGAACAAAAAGCACATGATCAGCTCAATCCATACATAAAAATTTAATAATAATCCAACACTTTGTTAATTAAAATACATTAATAAACTAAGAACATAAACTACCTTAACATGAAAAGGCGTATATAAAATGTCATAGTGAAGTTCATACTTAAAGAAGAGAATTGAAAAAGGCAAGAAGACCTACTCTCACCACTGCTATTCATCCAGTACAGGAAGCCCTAACTGGAACAATTAGATAAGTAAAAGAAAACCATGCAAACGAGAAAAAAGTGCAAAATTAGCTCTGTACATGGATAACATAATCTTATATGTAGAAACATCTAAAGTTAGTTAGAACCAATGAAGGCAAAATTTCATTAAAAAACATAGAATCAGCTGCATTCTGCACAGTAAGAATGACAAGCATGAAAAGAAAATTAAGAAAATACCATTAACTATAGAATGAAAAATGATAAAAATACTGAAGAATGAACTTAACCAAAGAAGTGAAAGCCTTCTGCAACAAAAATTATAAAACATTGCTTAAATAAATCAATGATACAAATAAATGAAGATATAAATGTTGATTGGAAGTCTTAATATTGATAAGATGTTCATGCTACACAAAGCAATCTACAGATGCAAGGAAAACTCTAACAAAATCCCAATGGCATTCTTTGCAGAAATAAAAAAAACAATGATCCTCAAATCTGTATGAAATTTCAAGGGACTCCAAGTAGCCAAGCCAGTTCTGAAATGTAACAAAATTGGAGACCTCACACTTCCTGCCTTGAAACATGTTACAAAATAACAGTAATTAAGATAAGGTGGCACTGGTGTAAAGACATGCATAGACCAATACAAAATGAGTTGAGAGCCCAGAAATAAACTCTTGAATATATGACCAAATAATTTTGACAAGGGTGCCAAGACTACACAATTGTAAAAAAAAAAACCAACAAATGATGCTGATAACACTGGGTACCAGCAAGCCAAAGAATGAAATTGTACCCTTTACATCATTCAAAAATGAACTCAATATGGATTTAAGATCTAAACATAAAATGTAAAATGAATATACTCTTAGAAGAAAAAGCAGTAATGTTTTCAAACACTGAATTGAGCAATGACTTCCCGAATGAAAAATATTGGCAACAAAATATATAACAGATAAATGGAACTATATTAAACTTTAAAACTTTCGTGAGTCAAAGAAAAACAATCAATTTACAGAATGAGAGAAAATAATAACAAATAATACCATCTGATAAAAGCTTAATATTCAAACTACAGTGGTACCTCAGTTTATGAATTTAATTTGTTTTACAATTTTGGGATAGATGCCAACCAAGTGACATAGGGTATCTAATCTTGGTGCCTTAAGTTTTCACCTCTCAAATTCAATAAATTTCCATTCTCTACCACTTAAAGGTATCTATGAACAAGTTAAGACTCTTTAAGCACTGTTGCTAGGAGCCAGGAATGTAGCTCATTAGTACAGCTCTTACCTAGCATGCGTGAGGCGCTGGGTTCCACTCCTAGTACCACAAGGGCAAGAAGGGAGGGTAAGAAAAAAGAACTGTTGTTTGTGTTTGTGTGGGGAAGATGATTATGGTGTTGTCATCTGATGCAGAGTTTGAAAATGGAAGAAAAATTTTCAAGAACGTTTTGGTTTGAAAATTGAATTATTTGCAAACAGAAGCATTTGTGAACAGAGAATTTCAACTTAACAAAATTGATTTAAAATAAGCAAGCCAAGTGTGATGGTGCATGTCTGTAATCCCAGCACTTGGAAGGCTGAGGCAGGAGAATTACTGTGAGTTCGAGACTAGCCTTGGCTACAAAGTGAGCTCAAGGCCAATTTGAACTGCATAGCAAGACTCTGTCTCAAAAAGACAAAAAATAAATACATAAAATAAAAATAAGCAAATAATTTTATATACATTTCTCCATAGAAAATATTAAGATGGCAAATAAGCACACAAAAGATGTTTAATCCACTAGTTACTGTAAAAATGAAAACCAAAACAGCTCCTCGTACCTCATGAATCAAGTTATGTACTTATAAGAAATAAACTTAAATAACATCACAAAGATTGAAAAGGGAAAAGATTTACAAGATAGCATGAAAAGAGTTATATCAGAAAATTAGTACTCAAAAGCATGAAACAGAACAGAAATAAAAATAAAGGTGAAATAATCGGGAATCATGAGAGAAAGGACGGAGATAGTCGAGGTAAGTGGAAAATAAAAATGATAAAGAAAAGGTGCAGACACACAGAAGCTGGAAACTGCCATAAAATTTAGTGAATCTTTGACAGGTGTTATAAGCAAGAAAAATAAATACATATGTTATTAAATGGTATTATGAATGAAGTTGGATATATGCTATATAGAGACGAAACTCTGAACCTTCTAAAATACTGTACCCATTTTTACAGCAAATTTACAAGACTTGATTAAAAATATAAGTAATCAAATATAAGTAAAATATATAAATACTTAAATATAAGTAAAAAATAATTAATCTAAAAGACTCAGGGGTTTCAAAATGAAAAACGGATCATCATATATTTTTTAAATGAATGTGAATTAAAATAGGCACAATATTACGCCATTAAAAAACAGTGTACATAAGTAAAGAAATTTGGGATGGCAAATAAATATATGTTAATAACAGTTCTTAATTTCTGAGATATAGGATTATGGTGAATTTCATTTTCTTCCTTTTGCCTGACTTTACTTTTAAAGCTATCATTAATTATTACATTACATTGCTTATGTTAAAAATAAAGAAAACTAAATAGTGCACTCCAATATATTTTTAACTCTTCAAGAGACTGGATCTAGGCTAATACTGCTGACTGAAAATAACATTCACGTTTCAACAATGAACGCAAGCTTTAATAGTCTGTACTTGGAATTTTACGGAAAATACATACATGGTGTTCTTCCTTAGCTGCTTCTTCTAGCTGAGCTGCAAATTGGGAGCAACATACCAAGAACGAATTCATATTATCCCCAACCTTTTGAAAAGAACAGCAAAATAAAAAGTTACTCATTCATAACCCATCTGTGTATTGATTTATTTCTTAGTAGATTAAACTAGTTTTCGATAATTTTTTGTGTGTGATTTCTTTCACCTCAAATAGATATGTAAGGCAAGAATCTATACTTCCAGTGTAGTAGCAAATTATCTGTCAAAGAGAATGTGGAAGAAAGTATATTCAGGAAGTAGTTAACTCATGCTATCTCTCTTCCCATTCTTCTCTGCACAACTGCAGAAATAAATGCTGACACATGGAACAACACAGACAAATCTCAAAAACACTACAAGGGAGCCAAATAAAGCATGCTCCACACTGTGTAATTCTATTTACGTGAACTTCTCGGAAAAGGCAAACGCATAGCGAAGGACCAGTGACTGAACCCAAAGGAGTATGACGAAGCCTTACCGAATAATGGGAACGTTTCAAGTCTGATTATGGTAGTGATTACACATGGTTGCAAAGAAGGAGGGGGCTAGAGAGTGGAGAAATCTCATCCTGCATGTTCCTAGGATGACTATGATTTCTTTTTTAGTACTGGGAACAGTTACCAGGGCCTCTGAAATAAGCTACAGTGTCCCAGCCCTATATGTAATTTCTTTACTTTGAGACAGGGTCTCACCAAATTTCTAAGTTTCCCAGGCTGGACTCAAATTTGACATCCTCCTGCCTCAGCTTCCTAGAATACAGGATGACTGCTTTTTGAAGCCCTACCAGATTTAACCAAAAGGTAACCAAAACCATTCAAATCTGAAGTCTCAACTCCTGCCAGATCAGATACTGACATAGTCAAAGAAACAAGTCCTTCAGAGAAAGCAGCCATAGGAGAGATCATGGATTAGAGAAATTAAATGAGAGTTTAGTTTAATTAAAGGTGAGCTGTCTACCAGTTCCAACTCAGTTCAATTTTCAGGGGATTATAAATGATTAGCCTTTAACTGTAAAAGCCAGAGGAAGGAAAGAACATAATTTCCTTAGAAAACAAAAATAAAACTTTATAACTAAAATAACTTTTATATTACAATGGTTGGAATCCAATTAAAAAATGTAAAAACTTATAAATGACCAAGAAAATAAGATCAATACCAAAAGAAAAAAAAACAGAATCTAACACTGATGATCCAAACATTGGAATTAACACATAAGCAATTTTAAAAATCTATTATTTATAAAAGAATTTTCAGGAATAGAAACTGGAAAGGCAGAGAGGTTAGATAATAAGAAAGTATAAAACATCTTCAAAGAAGTCAAAATGTAATAGCAGATGCAAAAATTTTAACATTTGAAGTATAAAATTCACTAGATGAAGCTTAATGGTCAGACACTGCTGAGTAGATAGAACTTGAAGACAGTTAAAAAATACTGTTCAAATTGAAGTACCTAAGTCTCCAGGATAGCACCCAACTCTTTTGGAATACAGATATTAAATGAGCCAAACACCACAAGATTCTCTTCACCATAACTCCATGCTGTATGTTCTTCAGCAGGTCTGAAGAACAGTGAAGGCTGAAAAACCAGTCCTCCTTCTCCCCCCACCAGGGCTATCAGGGCTATCAGGGCTGACAGGAGAGATCATTTACTTGGTAGTAATAGGTAGCACTCCCATTCCCCCAACAGCACCCCTATGTTGGTGGGAAGAGCACTTTTGCTTTTGTCTGGAAGTAGCCATTAGAAACATCAAGGATATCTGCTCTTACTACTACTTCAATATAATTCTAGTAACATAGTAAGTCAAGCCAAGAGAATAAGAAGTGTTCAGATCCATCAGATGATGTACAACATGAAAATGACATTATTGTCTATGTAGAAAATCCCAAAGAATTCACAGAAAACCCCTAGAACAAAAAGTACAATACACAATGAACAACCTTTCAAGATACAACATCAACACACAAAAAATTATTAATATGTCAATATACTCATAACATATAGGAAATAAGTTAAAAACATAATACCATTAATAATTACTTCCCAAAGCATGAAATCTCAATGTATAAATCTAGCAAATCATATATAATGCCTAAATGATGGAAAATCTGAAGTATTGTAAGAGAAATCAACCAAGACCTAAATAAACATGAGAAACACATCACATTTATTGATCAGAAGACTCAACCCAAGACTCCTCAGTATATCATGACATAGACCAAAACGAATTATGAATAAAACTAACTACAGTAGAAGAATTCTGTTTGTATAGTACATTAATGTATGACTGAATATGAGGAAATATGTAAAATAACAGATTGGATAACCATACAGTCTTAATACTTTGTTGTGTAACGCACACACAACAAAGATACATGTTAAACAACAATAACCTTCTTGAGTCTTTCTTTTTACTTACCACAAATACTTTCTTAACATGATATAGAATATACACCCAAATGATGAACTAAGCCAGGCTTAAAATTCAACATGAGAACCACTATTATTAAATTTAGGTTCAAGGTATATAATCTTGAACCTTAAGATTGAGGTTGGCAGAGATGGAAAAGCCAGTATACTACTGTTAAATTTCCTAAAAGGACCATTTCCTTCAATAGGAAATTCATCCTGAAAACTATGTGGGCTCAAAAAGAAAATCTTAGCCCTAGTCAGTGTTAATTTCTGTATACTAAGGATATATATATATATATATATATATATATATATATACTTACAGATAAAGAGAAGTCTTCTTGTTCAGGTTTCACTACTAGTTCTTCATTTTCAAAGTTAAATCCATAGGAATTTTCCAAAGTAGAGACAACCTACAAAAATGCAAAGCAAATTAAAGTTTCACCATTTAAAATTAATTATATTAAATGTAAAATTTGTCCCCTTAAAATTCTAACCTCACTAAAACTCTTAGTACTCAGTTTTTAATGATTTTCCTTGCACTGACACTATTAATTGCCAGACAAATTAACCCCACACTGTGTGATTCTAAACTCACAAGTCTCTCATCAGCTGCTCTTGTTTCTTCCACGTCCCCCTCCAGATGCCTACTGCGATACGTTCTCACATCAACAGAGTTGTGTGTTCCATACTTTGCACATTGCTAGCAAATCGCCAAACCTGGCAGTCACCATGGGAACTCCACTACACGGGACCCACCCAGCGTCTTACCATCTTCAGATGTTTGATAATCCTGTTTACTTCATCTTCTCCATCTAATTCATTTGTCTTAATTGATGGGATCGGCAAAGCATAACGGACAACAGATTCTGCAGTGGGTGGAGACTGTAGGGTCATTGGTTCAGTTTTATTTTGTACTAATTTTGCACCTTGTTTTTCTTTTGCTTTAGGTGATGATGGTGATTTAAGCTGGCCTTTTTTATAAATGAACTCTGTAATACTTGCCAAGTTGTTACTAGAGCTTGGCAAGTGCTTTGCTGGCTTCATTGTGTTATTAACTTAGCTTCCAAATTATAGATGAAAAATTTAATTCTTCCCTGTGAATAAAACATTAATAAATTCAGAGAAAATCTTACATTATTTAATTAAATAACAAAAATAAAGTTACTCTAATCGAATTCATCTACTTGTTTTCATTGTTCTAATACTTCAGCAGTCTATTTAGAGTTCATCAAACAGTTTCTGGAGCTGCAATTACATAATTGCCTCTTAAGAGTAACACTTTAAACACTGAAAAACAGAATTCAGTTATTAGTAATTTAATTTACACCAAGTTATTTAAGCCCAAGTATGATAATCATATTAGTAAAATGTCAATCATTTTAAAGCTAAAATATGTCCTTTATATAAATCATTATTCTCATTTTATACATGAATAAACTGAGCTCAGAGAAGTTAGGTGTCAGCCACAAGTCATGAAGTTAATATTATTTAGGTTGGAATTTCAACACAGATCAATTTGGCTACAAAACCTGTTTCTTCTCTATTCTACTTATTGTCCAAGTAGTGCCATTTTTATCTGCACGGTTTATAGCATTTTTGTACAAGTAATGGAGAAAATAAGTTTTTAAATTATAAGTGACTGAAGGATTATCACTTTCTATAAAGATGATTAATTCCCAAATCTACTGTGGAGAAATTATAAAATGAAGGATATATTTCTAGCAACAAATAATAGGAAAATTAAAAACAACTGTCAGAAACTCATGTGAGACTAATATGTGGAGATGTAGGGGGCAAGGAAAGTAGAGGCAACAATGACATAACTTTTAAATTCTGATTCTTACTTTTCCCTCTTCTTAAGCTAATACATACACGCCCTCAGTAATGATCCTTTTCCCAAAAGCTATGAAGGTATATGGAAATACAGAGGGGCAGGCCCTAGTTTTTATTTCTTTTTCCTATCTCCTTCTAAAGTTGATTAAGACCCAGAAGAAGGCCTCCTCCTAAATCTTTTTTGAGACAGGGTGTTTGTATGCAGTTCAGTCTGGCTTTGAACTCACTAGGTAGCCCATGCTGGCCTCCAAACCAAGCAATCCTCTTGCCTCAGCCTCTGGAGTACTTGGATTACAAGCATGCCTCACCATGCCCGGCTCCTCCTAAAGATCTTAAATTTATGTTGGAGCATGGGAATTGTGGGCAGAGTGGCAAAATTAAAATGAAATGATGCTGGTGCCATTTTGCCTGACTCTCACCACGCTGAGGCTAGTCTTACTGTTGCTGTATATCAAACTACATCTCCCCAAAACATTATTTTCAAGTCCTAATCTCTGACACTTGTAAATGTGATATTTCAAAATACAGTCCTTGCAGAAATACTCATGTTAAAATGAGGTCAACCTGGTCTAGGGTGGGTCCTAAAATGGATCATAAGTATCCCTACTGCTTGGAGGCAGACTGTAGTGTTATATCCACAAGACAAGGAATTTGGAGGGTTGCCAGCATTCACCAGAATCTTGGGAGAAGCCATGCAGGCCTTGAGGGCCTTCAAGGTAAACACAATTTTGCCAGCACTCTGACTTTAGACCACTGGCTTCCAGAACTGTAAAGAAGTAAATTTTTCACACTAATCCTGGTGTAATGTTTTAAGAAACATTAATGCTAAAAGAAAAATGATGCAGAAACTAAACTTTATGAGTTAAAAGCATCAAAAATGTATAAGAAGTTTATATTGCTATAGAAATATTTCATCAAAAGTATCAAGTCAGAGAGAGGAGGAGCCAGTGACCCAGAAGCTAAAACCAAAAGACGACCTACTGAAAGAAAAGTGAAGAACACACTGTGGAAACGTAAATTATGAACTGTGTCAAGAGCTAGGAAAAATGAGATAAGGACTAAGAACTGACCACTGGACTTAGCAAAATAGAAGTGGCTAGTATGTGACATGAAGATGTAACTATTTCCATAAAGTAATGGAGGTGAATGCCCAATTGACTTAAATTCAAGAGAACTGTTAAGAGAGAGCTAAAAATAGTGACTAGGAATGTAAGAACTCTAGACAAATTTTGCCACAAAAGGAAGAAAATACTATAAAGGAGAAAATGTTGAAAGGGTTTTTAATGAATGACAAGGTACACAGCTATCGTGGAATAAAGTGTGTCTTCACAAAAATATGTTCACGTTCCCTCTCCAGAACCTGTGAACGTGACCTTGACCTTGTTTGGAAACAGTGACTTTGCAGATGTAAACTCAGTTCCCAATCCAAGGACTAGACACACATACATGCAGAAGAGAACGCTACGTGATCTCATAGACAGACACAGGAGTAACAAGTCTACCAGGTAAGGTCATCAGGGATTGCCAATGGCCACCAGAAGCCAGGAGAGAAGGAGCACAGGGTCCCTAAGAGCCTCGAGTAAAAATCACGCTTGCCTGCACCTTGATTTTGCACTTCCAGCCTCCAGTACTGAGAAGTAGTAAATTTTTGTCAGGTCACCAAGTTTGCCTCACTTTGTTACAGCAACACTAGGAAACTGGTGGCCTTGATGATGAAATGGTCCAAAGAAAAGCAGGAATCTAGCTGGAATCATCTTCAGTTCTTGTAAATACACAAATGCACACTTCTATCAACAAAAAGGCATTTCTGCGTTTTACACCCTTCCTACACTGAACAACTTGCCTGTTTCCTCACCTCCACCCCCACGCCCACGCCCACCACAGCGCGCTAAGGTTCTGCCTCTGCGGACTAACTGGATTTTCCAGCACACGCAGCAGAACAGAGCGGTCGCGGGGCCTGGTGGTGGGAAGGAAACGGTGACTACCCCTCACTCAAAAGCAGCCCACTACCCGGGGCGGCAGGAGAACAAGGGACAGGGGCGCTGTCAGAGCCCCACACCTCTGCGTCCTCCGCTGCGGCAGCAGCTACGCCTGCAGGTCAGGCTGGTGCTCTGGAAGCTGGGATCCAAGCTCCCTGGACTCGAGGGAAGAAGGAGGCAGGTGGCTCTGCCCTCCGCAAGCCAGCATTGGTGTTGACAGAAAAGGTCCAGCCTTCGCGCCACAGGGTAGCCGCAACGACACCCAGCGCGCGCCCGGCACGCCCTTGATGTCATCACGCCAACGTCATCAGGGCGGGGCCTCCTATGCCCTGACGTCATCGCGCCAACGTCATCGGGGCGGGGCCTCCTATACCCTTGACGTCATTGCACCTCCAGCTGGCGGAAAGTAGATTAGAGCCAAGCTGGGCAAGGTAGCCCTTAAGTAAAAATGAAAAACAAAAAAAAAAACGGTAGGGGATGTAGATCAGCGTGAAGGTTGTAAGTTCAACCGCTAGCACTGTTTTTTTCATTAAAATACTGTTGTAGCTACATTCTACAAACTCGGTATTTTTATGTTTGTTCAGTTAAAAAAATGCTTTTAGATTGTTTTTATTGACTGTATTACCCAGCGTTATTTAGATGTGTTACCGAGTGTCCAAGTATTTTGATATTTTCAAGTATCATATGTGTTTGGTAATCACTTTTACGTGGTTTAAATCATTTTGACTTAATTCTCTTACTGAGATTTATTTTATGGTCTTAGAATATATTGCACTTTTGTAAAAATGGTGTCGTTCCAAGCCTACCTATTGTTGCTGCATTTTTGCTTTTTTTTCTATCACTTATTGAGGAAAGGATATTGAAATCTCAAAACTTGTGAATTTGCCAATGTGTTTTTGCAGTTTTGCTTCTTGAGTACATAAAATAACAGAATTATTTATTTCTTAGTTAACTGAAACTTTGGTCATCATGAAATGACTTTGAGTAGTTTTGATATGAAATCAACCTTGGTATTAATAAAGCCTTTCCTGTTCACCTTCTTTGGTCAAACATTAGTATTGTACGTTTTAAAATTCTTTTAAAACCTTGCGTCTGTACGTAGAAAATGTATTTCTTACAAGCAGGATCTATGCACAGGCAGGGTATATTTATTACATAGCTGGGTCTTACTGTTTTATTCAGTCTGGCAATCTGCCTTTTAATAGAAGCTTTAGGCCTTTTTTCACTTCACCTGATTACGTACAGCTGATACCTTGAATAATATGTCATTTGGGAGGAGCGGCAGTAATGCCTTGTGCAGTTGAAAATCTGTATTTTGAATCTCTAAAACTTAAGTATTAATACCTGCTATTAATGGAATGTAAGGCTTGCTGATAACATAAACAGTTGATTAACATGTATTTTGAATGTTAAATGAATGTGAGGGAGATACAAGAGAGCTGTGAGAGACCCTTTTCAGTGTGATAGGCCATTTCCTGGAGAGAAACTGCTGTTCTGGAAGTGACTGACATTCCATGGCCTCTGATGCAGGTACATTGTTTTTATTTTAAAAAGCAAACCAAAAAAAGAATAGAAATAATACAGAATTTCAAAAAAAGTAAGAATCAACACTATTTAATATATTGCATGTTGTTATTTTAGAAGTACTTGTTCAGGTTACAAAATCTAGGCATAATAAAATGATCAAACATTCAAACAATGACAGCAAAAATTGTCCTTTTGGATGAACTAACAAAGATTAGTAGTATAGCTATCTATCTTGCATACATATATATGCATATAGTCATATGTGTATACCCACAGACATATAATACTTTCCTTTCTTCCTTTTATCCTTTCTCTATTCCCAGTTCTTTTTTTTAGCACTTTTTTTCTCTCTCATTATTACAATATCTATTACACATTTTGGATCTTATTACTCTTTCAGTTTATTATTATTATACTAGGGAGACATTATGATATTTATAAATGTGAGTTTAATTTATTTCATTTAAGAGTATAGTCTCAAGTTGACTCAATTTACCTATAAAAGTGTCAAGATTATCTTTCTTTATAGCTGAGTAATATTCTATTTTATAAAAATACCACATATTTCTTATCCATCTGCAGCTGAGGGACATTTTGGTCATTTCCAAGATTTAGCCATTACAAATTGTGCTGCCATAGACATGAGTGCACATATATCACTGTGGCATGACATTTTTAATTTTTCTGGGAAAATAACCCAGGAGAGGAATAGCTGGATTGAATGAGATTTCCAATTCTAGTTTTTTGAGGAATCTCCACACTGATTTCCACAATAGCTGCACCAGTCTACACTCCCACCCACAATGGGGAAGTGTTCTTTTTTCTTATAACCCCCACCCCAGCATTTGTTATTTATTGATTTCTTGATGGTAGCCATTCTTTTTGGAGGGAGATGGAATCTCAATGCTGTTCTAATTTACATTTCTCGAATAACTTGTGATGGTGAGCATTTCTTCATGTATTTATGTGCCATTTGTGTATCTTCATCTGAGAACTGTGTGTTCATCTCAGATGTCCATTGTTGGACTGGGTCTTTGAATTTGTGGGATCTGATGTTTTTCTATTCTTTATATCTTCTAAATAAAAGTTCTGAGGGACAGCTGGCTAAAATTTCTTCCCGTTCTGTTGTTTTCTTTTCACACTGTTGGTGATTTCTTTTGAAGTTCAAAAAAATTTTTAATAAGATGATGAGATCCCAGTTGTCGATTCTTTAAGCTGCTTCCCATGCAGTTTGTGCTTGTTTATGAACTCTTTGCCTATCCTTTGTATTCAAGATTTCTACCTCGCTTGTCTTCTAATAGATTTAGTTTTTCTATTTCAATATTTAGATCTGTGATCTATTTTGACTTAATTTAGTACATGGTGATAGTCTTGAGTCTAGTTTCAGTCTTTGACATGTGGAAAGCCAATTTTTCCAGCACCGTTTATTAAAGAGGCTATTTTTTTCCCCAGTGAACATGTTTAGCACCTTTGTCAAATATAAGGTGGCTGAGTGTCTTTGTAGTTGTGTTTGCATTTTCTAATCTGTTCCATGACTCTCAGGTCTGTTTTATTTTGCCAGTACCATGCTGATTTTATCACTGTGTCTTTGTAGTGTGATTTCAAGTCAGAGACTGAGATGCCTCCTGCCTTGCTGTTGTTGCCCAGCATTGCCTTTGCTATTCTAGATCGCTTCTGTTTCCAAATGAATTTCAGAAATATTTTCTCTATGTCTATAAGGTATATTAATGGTATTTTGATTGGGATTGCATTAAATCTGTATAATAGTTTTGGGAGTATGGCCATTTTTCACAATGTTGATTCTTCTTAACTAAGAGCAAAAGATATCTTTTGATTTTCTGACATCTCCTTCAATCTCCTTTTATAGAGTACTACAATTTTCAACATAGAGGTCTTTTATATCCTTTGTTAGGTTGATTCCTAAGTATTTAATTTTTTGGATGATATTGTGAAAAGTGTTATTTTCATAATTTCTCTCTCAGTGAGTTTGTTTTTTGTGTATAGGGATATTACTGATTTTTGAGTGTTGACTTGTATTCAGATACACTGCTGAATTTGCTTATTAACTCTAGTAGTCTTTTGATGGAGTGTATGGGGTCCTCTGTGTAGAGTATCATATAATCTGCAAATAGTGATAATTTAACTTTGTCCTTTCCTATCCTTGTTCCTTGTATTTCTCTGTCTCCTCCAATTGCTCTGGCTAATATTTCCAGAACTATATTGAACAGGAGTGGTGATGTTGGACATCCTTGTCTTGTTCCTGATTTTAGAGTGAAAGTTTTCAGTTTTTGTTCATTTAGTATAATGTTGGCTGTTGGTTTGTCATAGATAGCTTTGATAGATTGAGGTAGTTACCACCTATTCTGAGTTTCCGTAGGGTTTTTATCATGAACAAGTGTTGGACTTTATCAAAAGCTTTTTTTGTGCCTATCAAAATGATCATATGAGTTTTGTTTTTGGCCCTGTTGATGTATATTACGTTTATTAATATGCATATGTTAAGCCATCTCTGCATTGCTGGGATAAATCCCACTTGGCCATGATGATTTACTGCGTTCTATTTGTTAGTATTTTATTGAGAATCTTTGTGCTAGTGTTCATTAAGGAGATTGGCCTATAGTTCTCCTTTTTAGTTGGATCTTTCTCTGGCTTTGTTACTCGGATAACACTTGCCTCCAGGAATGAGTTAGGGAGAATTGCTTCTCTTTCAATTTCACTGAAGAGTTTGAGGAGTACTGGCATTAAATTTTCGCTGAATGACTTGTAGAATTCAGCCATGAATCCGTCAGGACCTGGGCTTTTTTTATTGGCAAGTTTTTAATCACATTTCCAATTTCGGTAGCTGATATTGGATTATTCAAAATTGTTATAACTTCTTGAGTCAGATTTGGTAATTCATACATTTCTAGGAATCTGTTCATTTCCTCTGTGTTTTCCATCTTATGTGAATAAAGATTTTCAAAGTAGGTATTTATGTTCTTCTGAATTTCCATGGTATCTGTAGTAATTTCACCCTTTTTATTCCTTATTGCATGAATTTGAGATTTTTCTTTTTCTCGATAAGGTTGGCTAAAGGTTTATCAATTTCATTAATTCTCTCAAAAAACACCCTATGATTCATTAATTCTTTGTATTACTTTCTTAGTCTCAATTGTATTATTTTCTTCTCTGATCTTTATAATTTCCTCTCTTCTATGAGCTTTGGGTTTTACTTGCTCTTCTTTTTCTGGAAGCTTGAAGTGTGGCGTTAGGTTGCTTATTTGTGCTTGTTCTGTTTTTCTGATGTGGCAATTCATTTCTGTTTCCCTCTTAGCACTACCTTCATTGCATCCCACATGTTTTGTTATGTTGTGTCTGCATTTTTATTGAATTTTAGGTATTGTTTAATATCTTCTTTAATTTTATCTGTAACTAATTGATTGTTCAAGAGGTTATTTAATTTTCTTGTGTGTATGTAAGTTTTGTCATTTCTTTTGCCATTAATTTCCAATTTCAGTGCACTATGGTCAGATAATACACATAGGATAATTTCAATCCCTTTGCATTTACTTAAGCATGTTTTATGGGCTAATAGATGGTCTACTTTAGAGAATGTCTCATGTGCACCTGAGAAAAATGTGTATTCTGATGTGGTTGTGTGGCATACTCTGTAAACATCTACTAAGTCCATTTGTTCACAGGTTTGATTCAGTTCTGTTATTTCTTTGCCAACTTTTTATCTAGTTTAACTGTCTCTTTGTGACAATGGGGTGT